TCATCAACAGAAGCCAGACTCAAAAGGGCACAGGCTGCATGATTCCATTCACATGAAGTTCAAGAACAGGCAGAAGGCACCAGCGGTGAGGGAGAGCAGAGCGCCGGTTACTATGGGGCTGGAGGGGAGCGCTGTTGACTCGGAGGGCACAGGCACCTTGCTGGGGAGATGGATACTCTGCACTCTGATCCGAGTGGTGGCAGAGGGCCTGTGCCTGCAGGTGTAAGCCACCGAGCAGTGCACTCCAGATGTGCACATTTTACTCTGTGCAAATTATGCCTCCATTGTTTAAAAGAAATATACAAGAGTCACATTACATACACACTTGACTATCTGCACTTTGCCTAATAGGACTCAGAGAGAGAAACAACTAGAAATTGCAATTTAAGTAAGGCAGGGGGTATTGTCTTCTTCTTCTTCTTTTTTTGAGACAGAGTTTCACTCTTGTTGCCCAAGGTGGAATGCAATGGCACGATCTTGGCTCATTGCAACCTCTGCCTCCCTGGTTCAAGCAATTCTCCTGCCTCAGCCTCCCAAGTAGCTGGGATTACAGGTGTGCACCACCACACCCAGCTAGTTTTATTTTTTTGTTTGTTTGTTTGTTTGTTTGTTTGTTTTGAGACAGAGTTTCGCTCTTGTTACCCAGGCTGGAGTGCAATGACGCGATCTTGGCTCACTGCAACCTCCGCCTCCTGGGCTCAGGCAATTCTCCTGCCTCAGCCTCCTGAGTAGCTGGGATTACAGGCACGCGCCACCATGCCCAGCTAATTTTTTGTATTTTTTTAGTAGAGAAGGGGTTTCACCATGTTGACCAGGATGGTCTCGATCTCTTGACCTCGTGATCCACCCGCCTCGGCCTCCCAAAGTGCTGGATTTTTTGGTTATTTATTTGACCCGTGACCCCGCTCTGAGACTGAACCTCACTGTGACAGTGCAAGCATGGAATTTCCTCTCTTCCTCACACCTCCCACCTCCCTTCTAGGAGTCTGGGCTTTGGAGAAATGGAAGAATATGCCCTTCCTGTCTGTCTGAATGTGTCCCTGTTGTGACATTCACAGGGTCATTGCTGACCCCCTCTACTTCTCACATTAATGATATGTGCATTACTATCGATGTCTTATTTCTTGGGAAGTGTTTATACTCTTGCAACAGCCTGATAAGTAAAATTATCCAACACTTGGAAATAAGGCAGATAGATAACCAGTGTCCTTTCAAAGTCAAATGAGAGCTGTATCTGACAAGCCCTCCTAAGGATCAACTGACACTCTAGGGGAATGTCGCTTGGCTTGACTTATTATTTACTATTGATTCGAGCCCAGATTCGGTAAAGACAGCTGTTAACTGGTAGAAAACTGATAAGTTGCAAATTATTTTCCTCTGGTAGAGATGCAAATGATTTCTTTCAATAGAGAAGATATGCCCCACATCATCATCCTATTGTCCCATAGAACATTAACCAGTTTTGTATCTAATGTAGCAATCTTATGAACGTTCCAGAATTCTTGTTGTTTTAACTAACTCTCCACATATAGGTATACGTATTTTTTCATATCCATTGAACTAGCTTTGTCACCTAGCTGGTTCCTGCATTAACAACTTACAGGAAGACACTGATGTATTCTCACCCTGTATTTCTATAAAAACTGGGTATTCGATATTTTGAAAACTAGACTTTGGCTGGGTGCAGTGGCTCACGCCTGTAATCCCAGCACTTTGGAAGGCCGAGGTGGTCGAATCACCTGAGGTCAGGAGTTCGAGACCATCCTGGCCAACATGGTAAAACCCTGTCTCTACTAAAAATACAAAAATTAGCCAGGTATGGTGGCACGCGCCTGTAATCCCAGCTACTCAGGAGGCTGAGGCAGAGAATCGCTTGAACCTGGGAGGTGGAGGTTGCAGTGAGCTGAGATCGCGTCACTGCACTCCAGCCTGGGCAATACAGTGAGACTTTATCTCAAAAAGCAGAAGAAGAAGAGAGATATTGGAAGGGATGTTAAAGACCCTTTTGGGGCAGCCTTCCCGCCTCCCACCCGCTCCCTCATCTTGGTAGATGGAGAAAGTGGGGTTCAGAAAGATGACAGAACTTGCCCAAGGTCATGCTGTGAGTTAGGTATGGGTTGAACAGGTGAGATTCCAGCTCTACGAACTTTCTGAATCCAGAGAGCGCGGCGGGGGCTGTCAGGAGGTGCCCCCGCCCTTCAACCCAGCATCCTCATTTTTATCTATTTGACATACTTCAGATGCCACACAAGATTGCAAATGAAATAGAAGCCCCTACCACGTGAAAACCCTGGCTCTGGACCACCCTCCATCTGCCCAGTTACAATAGCCTTCCCTCATAGCTTCTCTCCTCCGCCTCTTCTCCTCCGCCTGCCTCTGGCAACATACTCAGAAAACTAACAAACAAACAAAAACATGCTGATAAGAAGTAGACAGATGTGGTCAGCTTGAACACATTGGCCTCCAGTCTGGGAGAGACAGAGCCCCCCCATCTAACGAAAAGCATTCCCAGGGTTCAAGCTAACAATGATGCGGTGTGCATGCTGCCAGGTAACAGGCACCCCGTCAGTTAAGCCGAGTAAGGCTAGACGGCCCGTTCAAACGTTAGCAGCAATTCTCTCTAGATGGTGGAACACACAGGCTTTTGTTGCTGGGTTTGTTGTTGTTGTTGTTTTGGTTTTTTGAGATGGTATTACAGGATCTTTGGGGTGTCATTTTTCTGACACCTGGTGTCTGCGGCTGGTGGCACCTTTGCCCAAGTTTGGCTCGGCCCACTGGGCTTGTTTCACCCACTCTGCCCTGCAGGCGGCACTCAGCTCACATTTCCAGCCTGAGTCCCACATCTGCCCAAGACAAGTCAGGCGTGGAACCGTGAGAGGTACATGAGTGAGCGTGGGGTCCAGCCGCTGCACACAGTCAGACAAGCTGGCTGCTCGCGTGGGTGAGCAGCTCCAGGTGCCAACACAGGTGCTGGTTCTCTGCGAGGCTGCGGCTGGACCAGGTACACCACAAGCAGCTTCCAGGGGTGGCACTGGGGAACATGGTAGCACCTGGAAGCTTGCAGACACCAAGAACCACAGGGCCCCAAAAAGGGAGTCATAGCCCTGGCTTGAGGAGTTGCCAGGTCTGGGTTCCCCAAAGGGCTGCAGCTCTTCTCACTTTCTCTTCACCTACAACATGGCAAGCAAGGGGCATGTTTCCGTCCTGTTTGTGTTATAGCCCTTTTAGCCTCACCATTCGACAGCTCCCATGTTCTTATCCTGTGACCAGCAAGAATGAGGTACGCAGACACGCGGAGGGTGAGCAAGACGAAGAGGAGCTTTATTGAGCAGTAGAACAGCTCAGCCTCTCGCAGGGGTCAGCTCCTTTCTGCAGCCAGGGTGTCCTGATGAGGGTTCGGCTCGTAGCAGAGAGGAGACCCTGGAGTGGGTTGCTCCTCCTGGCAGCTGGTCATCCCTATGTCTGCCCAGCTCTGGCTGAGCCTGGAGCTTTCATGGGCCTCGGAGGGGAGGGGGTGTATGCTGACTGGTCTATGGGTGGCCACAGGCAGGCCCAGAAAAGATACCACCAGTTCCCACACCAGTCCGTAGGACAGGCAACCTGGCCCCCAGACTTCAGGACCTCCCTGGCCTGAAGGTGGGGCCTTATCAGGGACCCACCCCCTTCCACCCAGGAGCCTGTCTGACTCCTGCTGCTATTCATGGTGCCCAGGCTGCTCATGCCAAGGGGTGCCTGCAGGCCAGTGCCAAGCTGCCCTCAGTGCCCCCTTGGCTTCCCCACCATGACAGTCAATGCCCAAAGTCCAGAGGGGACCGAGGCAGCAGGGGGCCAGCACGTTGACACTGTCTCAAGTATGCACACACCCCGGGCTGCAGCAGTGCCCAGGCTCAGCCGCAACTTTGCTTCGAGATTGGAGTTGGTGCCAAGAGCAGGGAGAAGCCAGGCACTGGGAGCAGGCACTTCTGAGCCTGCAAGGGCAGGGGGAGGGGACCTTCCCAGGCCCCCAAGAGCGCAGGGATGCCTGGGCCCACAGCTGCAGTTTAGGTGGCTACAGCTGCATGGGTGGCAGCAGGGCGGCCACCTGCTCTGTGGAGCAGAAAACCTGGGTCTTCAGCTGTGGTTTGTGCAGCTGCAGCAGGTGTCCAGGAGGGTGGGGTTCCCACTGTCCCCAGCTCCCACTGACTACATGGAGCAGGCAGCCCTGGCTGTGCCTCCCTGCTGCAGCAGGTATGATGTCAGCGCCCATTCCTGATGGCCCACTGCTGCCGTCTGTTTTGCTTTTTTGAGATGGAGTCTTGTTCTGTCTTCCAGGCAGGAGTGCATGGTAAGATCACAGCTCACTGCAGCCTCAACCTCCTGGGCTCAAGCAATCCTCCCAGCTCAGCCTCCCAAATATCTGGGACTAGACAGCTGCATGCTACCACACCTGGCTATTTTTAAAAATTTTAGTATAGATGGAGTTTTACCATATTGGCCAGGCTGGTCTCGAACTCCTGACCTCAAGTGATCCACCTGCCTTAGCCTCCCAAAGTCCTGGGATTACAGGTATGAGCCCCAGCATCAAGACTTGTTCTTTTTCTAAATGTTGGTAAAAGCTAGTGATTAAGTGTTCACCTATCATAATCAGATGAGGTAGAACCTCGTTCCCAATGTACAGGTAAAACTGAGGGAGCCGGAGGTCAAGTAATTTCTGAAGACATGCAACTGGGAAGCCGCAAGTCTAGAAACAGAGCGCTGTGCTTCCTTCTCACCAATGCACTGCTCTTTCTTCTTTGTATTTTCCAAGCTTTTGGCAATGAATTGCATGTCACTTTCATAATCATGAAAAGTCCTACAAGGGGCAGATTTTTTTAAAGATTCCTTCCGCTCTGGTGTTCTGTGCTTCCCTGGTTCTCAGAGCCTTGCCCTACACAGCCTCCACCCCACATCCTCACAGACGCTGGCCTCACCGCCCCCACCCCCACACCAGCTGTTGCTGGGGCAGGACACCCAATGTTCCTGTCTTGCTGAAGGCTGCTCAAAATGTCCCTGGTGAACTTCTGGGCCCTGGGGAAGTGTAGGGGGCAGGTCTGGAGAAGGGGAAGTGGGAAGGGATGTGAAACTTGGCCACAGCCTGGCGCCACTCCTGCTGGGCAGCCCACAGGAGCCCTGCGCAGAGGACAGGAACATCCAGTTGAAGTTGACAACGGGAGGCAGGTGAGGCCAGAGTCCCAGAGGGAGGGGGCTATGGAGTTCCGGGACCCAGGGGAGCTGGCCCAGGAGGCTGGAACACTGAGGCAGGGAGGGAGGGAAATAAGTGTGGCTGATTCTGTGGCAGGACAGGGATGGGGGTGCAGCACTGATCCACCCAGAATGGGAGAGCGGAGGGACCTCAACTCCTAGAGCCAGAGCCTGGGGGAGGGTGTGAGGCGGTGAGTTAGACTCAACAACTGATGGGTAAGACCAGGGTTTCTGGGTCTGGCCCCGAAACACCTAAGAAACTGGGAAAAGGCTGGGGTGCTAGAGCTGGCAGTGGGACCCAGCAGAGGGGACGGTAGGGGCAGCCAGCCAGCCATTCTCGGGTGGATGCTGAAAGCCACTGAGCATGCGGAAGGGTGAGCAGGTGTCGTGCTGGGTGTTTGTGAAATCCTGTGTGTATGCAGAGCTCCACCATCTGGGTGAGTGAGTGTTCATTAAATAAGGAACAGGCGCTCGATACATATTTGTTCAATGAAATCGATCACCTGGGGGAGTGTATGAATGTGTGTGTCGGTGTGAGTGAGGGACAGAGTCTATTTGGGTATCAGTTGTGTGTCTAGGGGTGCGTAGTGGATTTCTGAGTTTCCACACCATGTTTTGTAGGTGTGTGGATGACAGGATGTGTTTGTGAGTGTGTGATGAGGTGGGTGTGCTCGGTTGCGTGTGTGTGTGTGAATTTGTGGTTCTGTGTATATGCGTGGGGTCCCTGGAGCTGGATTGAGAGTGGACGCTGAAAGCCCTGGAGGGTGTGTGTGCACTGGGGGAGGGGTGTGCATATATCATGGTGTGCACGGGACCCAAGGGTGTGAGCTGGGTGTGAGTGTGTGATGTCCAGCCTGCCCAGGCCCTCCTGTGTCTCCACAGGGGCATCATGGAGGGGTCCCGGGGCTGGCTGGTGGTCTGTGTGCTGGCCGTGTCGCTGGCCTCTACGGTGACCCAGGATGTGTGCCGAGCACCAAACGGGAAGGACGGGTTGGCAGGAAGACCCGGCAGACCGGGGCGGCCAGGCCTCAAGGGGGAGCAAGGGGAGCCGGGTAAGCAACCCCCTCGGGACACCGCCCCTCCGACCTCAGCCTGGCCTGGCCTCCAGGGCGAAGGCTTGGGGATGGCACTGAGAATCAGGAGTCCGTCTGCCCCCAACGCCCTATGATGAATCCTCTCCAGTTTGCACTTGGCCCCAGGCGCTAAGGGAGGCCCAGCCTTCTCCCCGGGCCACGTCCCCAGCCTCTCCACTCCCCATTGACGGCCTGGGTCCTCTTCCTTCGGCTTCACCTTCCCCCCTCTGGAGAATGACTTGCTTTGAGCAGTGAATGTGAAAGTTCCAGCAGCAATGATGAGTCCTGGCTCACAGTTCTCTCACCAGCATAACGAGGACCCAGAGTTTAGTCTCAGCGGCCCCCGCCTTGCTGTGTGACCTCAGGCAAGTTATCAACCCTCTCTGAGCTTAAGTGGCCTCATCTGTAAGATGGAGAATAACCCCGCGTGGCACATAGAGAGGGACCAAATAACTGCAACTGCCCCTTCACTTCCTCCGGCACCCTTGGTGCTGTTCGCACTTCCACCTCCCCAACTCTTTAGGCTTCAGAAACTCTCACATTCTAGAAGAAAGGCAGGGGGTGATGGAAAAGGGAGGTCCTGATCAGAGCAGAAAGGGAGTCTCATGAAATCCCCCTGAGCCTCCCGGTCCAAAGCAGACTGGATGGATCACATAGACATTTGCAGTAATTTGCATCCGGGCATCCTACGTGGGATACCTGAACCCGCAGAAGTCAAGGTCAGTGCCCTGGAGGAGGGTAGAGGGCCCAGCCTTGAGCAGGAGCACAGCAGAGCAGCGAGCACCACGCATTTCCCAGAACCTGACACTTTTCCAAGTGCCTGTTCACATTCCTCTCCACTTTACAGATGAAGGGGAGGCTCAGAGAGGTTGAGACACTTGCCCTAAGTCACACAGCCAGTCAGAGCCAATGTCCTGAAGGCCCAGGTACTTCCTGGCCCTTTATTCCATAGACTCAGGGGGTCCAGTTCTCTCCCTGAGGACTGGTAGGCTTTGGACTCTCACTCCCAATCTGCCATTTCTCCCCACAGGGGACCCTGGCATCCGGACAGGCATCCGAGGCCTTAAAGGAGACCAGGGGGAACCCGGGCCCCCTGGAAACCCCGGCAAGGTGGGCTACCCAGGGCCCAGCGGCCTCCCCGGGATCCCTGGCCCGCCAGGAATTAAAGGCATCAAGGGCAATCCAGGAAACATCAAGGACCAGCCGCGGCCGGCCTTCTCGGCCATTAGGAGGAACCCACCGATGGGAGGCAACGTGGTCATCTTCGACACGGTCCTCACCAACCAGGAAGGCCCGTACCAGAACAACTCGGGCCGCTTTGTCTGTGCTGTGCCCGGCTACTATTACTTCACCTTCCAGGTGGTGTCCAAGTGGGACATCTGCCTGTCCATCGTATCCTCCTCTAGGGGCCAGGTCCGACGCTCCCTGGGCTTCTGTGATGCCAACAGCAAGGGAATCTTCCAGGTGGTGTCGGGGGGCACAGTGCTTCATCTGCAGCAGGGTGACCAGGTCTGGGTCGAAAAAGACCCCAGTAAGGGCCGCATTTACCAGGGTTCCGAGGCTGACAGCGTCTTCAGCGGCTTCCTCATCTTCCCATCTGCCTGAGTCAGGGAAGGACCACCCCCCCGCCGCCACCCTGCCACCGCTCTGGCTTCCATGCTTTGCTCTGTAAAATGAGGGTGCTGTTGCTTTAGTTGCTGAAGGGAGGGGGCTGGCTCCAAGAACCCCAGGACTTGCTGCCCCATGACATGGGCTCTAAGAAGCTCGTTTCTTAGAACTCTTCCTGGAATAAACATCTGTGTCTGTGTCTGCTGGACTTAAGCTTCAGTTGCGACTCATTAAGAGAGAGGCCTAAGAACCATAGCAATCGAGTGTTTAAGAGGCAGACCCGTGCTTAGTATTTTCTTTTTTTTTTTTTGAGACAGTTTCAGTCTTGTCACCCAGACTGGAGTGTGATGAGACAATCTCTGCTCACTGCAACCTCTGCCTCCTGGGTTCAAGCAATTCTCCTGCCTCAGCCTCCTGAGTGGCTGGGATTACAGGCGCCCACCACCACACCTGGCTAATTTTTTGCATTTTTGGCAGAGACGGGGTTTCACCATGTTGGCCAGGCTGGTCTCGAACTCCCGACCTCAAGTGATCCACCTGCCTTGGCCTCCCAAGGTGCTGGGATTACAGGCGTGAGCCACCACACCTGGCCCATCCCCAGTATTTCAGGTGGTATGTTTAGCGGGTCCTAGCAGCCTCGTTGGCCCAGGTTCCAATCCTGATGCCACCACTTCTTAGCTGTCTAATCATGTGCGTGGTATCCAAGCTCTGAGACCTGTTTCCCTATCTGTTAAGTGGGACTGATGATACCACCTACCTCAAAGCGTCACTGGGAGGATTCAGTGATGTAATATGAGGATTGTAGAGCACTGCTTGGGTCATAAAAAGGGCTATGGAAGTTCCGCTGTTGTTACATTTTGTTCAATCTTTATCACCAAGCTCTCTATGTGGTATGATGGCCCTGCATTGCAGATGACGAAACTGAGGCTGTGAGGGGCAGGCATAAATCAGCAAATCAGCATTGAAGGGGAGGAGCTGGGGGCCGGGCATGGTGGCTCACGACTGTAATCCCAACACTTTGGGAGGCCGAGGTGGCTAGGTCACCTGAGGTCGGGAGTTAGAGAGCAGCCTGGCCAACATACAGTGAAGCCCCATCTCTCCTAAAAATACAAAACTTTGCTGGGTGTAGTGGTGCATGCCTGTAGACCCAGCTACTTGGAGAGCTGAGGCAGGAGAATCACTTGAATCCAGGAGGTGGAGGTTACAGTGAGCTGAGATTGCACCACTGCACTTTAGCCTGGGTGGCAGAGTGAGACTCCATCTCTCAAAAAAAAAAAAAAAAAAAAGGACAAGGTCGAGGAGAAGCTGGGATTTGAACTCAAGCCTTACTGATGCCCAAGCCTGTGTTTAACCACTACCCTCACCAGCCTCCCCGTTTTCTGTGAAGCACTTGACATATCACACAGGTGCTTTTCCAACCTGTACTAGGAAGGCAGGGGCAGCAATCAGAGACGGGGAGCAGTTGGCCCAAGGGCACTCAGCCGTCCTTCCTGGAGCCAGGTTTCCTGAGTCCAGCCCTGGGCTTCCCCTTAGCAAGGTGTGGAGGCCAGGCTGCTGCCTCTGCTGCCTGCTGGACGTCCCGCCGGGGCGGGGTAGGGGGGGAGGCTGGGAAAGTCGTGAATGCTCACAGTGCATTCCAGGGCCCTACTTGTCTGTCTGGAAGCTGCTACAAAGTAGCAAACCCCACCCTGTACCTCGAATGTGGGAGAAATCAGGATACCGGGAGTTCATACCCGAAAATGTCCAATGCCCTATGCAGTTTCTCAAAGGAAGCTGGGTTTATCTTTGTGCTACACACCACACACACACACACACACACACACACACACCAGTTACACCTTCACGCCCACAGGCTCAGTCAGGGAGGCACAGCCATCATGGCACATGGCCCCTGCATCAGACATACAAGTAACATCCATGAACCATCTAATCTTTCTCTCTCTTACTCACACCCCCGAGACTCATGTCCCAAACACACTCCTTACACCCAGGGGCACACATCCTCCTCCCTCCAGCATGCCTGAGCCCCAGAATGCCTGTGTCCTCTCCCACATGGACCACCATACACTTGAACTCCCGCAGGGCCATCCTCAGAAACACAGGGGCTGTCCCTCCCACCCACAGCCTGACTCACAGATGACCTTACATCCTGGAGCGTACCACCTGAATACCCACCTCTAAAGTACAAGACCCTTTCCTGGGACTGCCCCTGCCCTGCCAACAGGGTTTGGGGGGGTCAGGAAGAAGTGAGGGGGGCCCAGGGAGAGGGGGAACCCTCCACGGTCTCAGGGCAGCCCCTCAGCTCCCTCCCGGGGTCAGCTCTGCCTGTCCCTCCCCGTGCCTTGCCCACCCACATCACACGCTGCTTAAGAGGCGCCAGGGAAACAGACAGGTCTTCAGGTACCTACGTTCTGGCAGTCCACAGCCATTGATGCTCTGAATCCCAGGAAAATTGATGTGGACGCTGAGGCTCAGAGAAAGGGGACATCCACTCAAGGACTCCCAGCCAGAAAGGGGTAGGGGCCTGGGGTCGGATCAGGGCTGCCGGACCCCGCAGGGTTAGGGCACGCAAAGAAAATGCCAGGGGTGGAGGCTGCATCAGCGGCAGCAGAGGCCAAGGTAGAGAAATGGGGTGTGCAGGGAGTGCCCGGCCGCCCCCTTACCCTAAATCCTACCCACACCCCATCATCCGCCCACTACACACGGCAAAATCTCTGGACCCTCCGGGAGGGGAATGAGCTGGAGCCGGAAAGGGGCCAGGTGGGCGGCTCACGGGAGGGCTGAGCGTGGGCCGCGGCTGCCACCTGCTGGACAAGCCGGACCCAGGCGCACAGGAGGTGAAAAGGGAGGAGAGGAGCCCAGAGCCGTCCAGGCTGGCTCGCCCCCAGCCCTGTAACGCAATGTCCGTCATTTCTGCTCATCCCAGTCTTCCGAACCGCTAGGGACTCCTGCGGCAAAGTGCATGCATGCCCCTTAACTCATCCCACGCTCTGCAGCCCCACGGCACAGGCACAGGGTGGAGATACGGGTGGGGAGACTGAGAACCTAAGGTTTCCTGAGCGCGGCAGGGGCAGAGCTCCGAACACCTGACCGTGCCTGGCACGGGACAAGGCATGGATGTGTGTTATGCACTGAATCCAGCCACTGCCCTGCATGGGAGCTATCGGAAGCCCCCGTGTTTCAGAGGAAGACCCGCAGGTGTGCGGTCGAGGCTGGAGCCCCACTACTGCCTGACAGCCCTTTCATTCCTAGAAGCTCATGTAAGAAGAGGGAGAGGGGAGGGCACCTCTAAGCCCTGCCAGCCTGGTCCTGACCGGGAGCCCCTCGCCAGCCATGGTGGGCTCCAAGCCCAGAGGCAGGGCATGCCCGGGATGCAGGCGAGGAAGGTGGTGTTGGCAGGGAAGGTGGAACTGTCAGGGGAGACCAGGGGCCCCAGCAAAGGAAGAGACACCAATACGGGAAGCCGAGGCCCCCGGGGTGGACAGAAGGAGGGCCAGAGGGACCAGTGACTCGCTGAAGGTATCTGGTCTACGGAGTGACAGGGCTGGAAGGAGAAGCCGGGGCCCTGACTCTGTAGCCAGGGCAGCCCGTGCACCACAGCCCCTGCCTGCCTGCCATCCAAGCAGCTCCATCCTGGGGGTCCAGCTCCAAGTTCGACCACTAGGATGGGGCGCGTGGAAGTTTCTAGAACAATCCTTGCCACTTGACAAGTACATGCGAGGCTTGTTTCTGGGGGCAGCTGAGCAGAGGGATCAGAGCAAGGCTTTGGGCCCCAAGAGACCATTCAGTGTGTGACTTTGCATAATGGCGTACATCTCACACATACGACACACACGCGTGCACACACACGCGCGCGCACACACACACACACACACCACATACACCTCAGTTTCCTCATCTGTAAAGGGGGAAAATAACTTCCTCCTAGGGATGATGGGAAAACTGAGTCTCAGGCACAGCAAATGCCAGCGTTGAGCATTAGATGGGCGGAACCTGACTCTGGGGGATGTCTGTGCCTTGGGGGCTTGTGCACACACACACACATACCACACACACACACCAGACACACCACACACCACACACACACACCACACACCACACACACACACAAACCACACACACACCACACACCACACACACACCACATACATCACACACACACACCACACACACACCGCACACACCACACACACCACACACACACCACACAACACACACCACACACATACCATACATACCACGTACCACACACACACCACACACACCACACACACACTACACACACACCGCACACACCACACACACCACACACACCACACACCACACACACACCACACACATTCACCACATACACCACGAACACACACACCACACATACACCACACACACCACACATACACACATACCACACACACACCACACACACCACACACACACTACACACACACCGCACACACCACACCACACACCACACACACACCACACACACCACACACCACACACACACCACACACATTCACCACATACACCACGAACACACACACCACACATACACCATACACACCACACATACACACATACAACACACACACACCATACATACACGCACTACACACCACACACACACCACACACCACACACACACACACACCCACACCAGACACACACACACACACACACACACACACACACACACACACACGCCCTCAGCCAGATGCTGGGGCAGTGGACGTTTCCTCATTTCAGACACTCATGACTGCCGTGGGATTGTGGACGGGGGTGTTGCTGTGGTCAGTCTGGCTCAGCACCCAAAAGAAAGTGTCAAGTCAGGGAAAATTCTGGGAAAGGGGATGTGGGATTGGGGAGGACATGAGAAGGGGAGGGGGCCCAGCCCTGCTCTGGGCAATCCTTGCTCTGACCACTCTGACACCGTGTCCTCTTGCCTGGGAGAGAGGAAGCAGATCTGAGGACATCTCTGTGACCAGGCTAGAAGCTGCCCACCCGCAGGTGAGGCCCGGAACCCTGCCCAGGTAAGGGCAGATGGCCGTTCCCCCACCTTCCACCACCTTACTGAAACATGGTGCCAGGGCAGCTTGCTGTGTGAGGGGAAGGAGGGCTCCCACTCCCTGCGGGGCCCCGGGACCTGGGTTTAAGAAGAGGCGTCACCATCCATCCATGGTGAGGCTCCCGGCGGGGGGGTGGGGGG